CAGGATTTTTGTCGAAGAGAAGAAAACTCGGATTTGATTCCATTCCATGAGCAAGATTCTAACTATTCTGTCAGAAACCGATCCGATTAAAAGAGAACCAAAAGCATGCATATAAAACAATATACAAGTGTAAATATATGTGTGTGTGGATGAAGCCAGAAAATTCAGAGAAAGAAACTTGCAACTAACAATAATGGCGGCCGCCTAATTAATTAACGCACAAGGTTTTCTGAATCAGAAATGACGACTTTTTGTTCTGATATATTGGCGTTATCCACAAATCCAAATTTTGACATTTCAACCGGCATCCATGCCTGTCTCTATAACTTCCTACTCAGACACATGTAGACCTGTTCGCTTTATTATCGTATTTTCGATCAGCTCGTACTTTGTTGGAGAGGCTTCTATGGTCCATATTCTGCACGTGGCTCATTATTCAAATATAATACTAATGGTTTTCTAAATCTGAGTTTGTCTACCTAATTCAGTTGAATGAAGAAAACTGGCGATCTCGCAGTGCATTTTAGACTATTCTTGTTTCGAATATGCATGACTCAGTTATGAGTCAAAAGTCAAAACTAAAACATACACGTAATTGAATTTAAAACTCCAATGTATGTTCAATAAAAAGCAATAATCTTCAAGTGTACATATATTTTTCAACGAGCATAGACTATTTGAATTGAATAACAAAGGCGGCTACGCGAGATTAAAATTGTAATAAAGTGTTAATTAATTTTGTGTTCTAAAGCTTGCTTAATTAATTTCCTGTGTACAACATAAAGATGTTTCCATACACGTAATAGATAAGAACACCTGCGTCTCATCATATCATATCTATCCTCGCTTAATTCCATATTCCTTATCCAATCACCAAACACTGCTTTTTGGGGTGCGTTGCTTTAACCAAATTGCGTCAGTAAAATTGAAAGGAAAATAATAATAATAATAAATAATAACATTTTGTTTTGAAAGCAATTGCAAAATGCAACACATTTAGTTTGTCCCCTTCCAAAAAGTATTCTATTTGACCTTTTCTTTCTTCGCCTTTTGGCTCTCAAATATCTCCTTTTGTGGAACGCATAATTACAGCTAAACCACCAGCGGCAGTATTAGAGCGTCTAGTTTAACTTGCTTAATTAATTGACCGTCCACATGTTGGGATAATTGATTAGTATAATTAGGTTTTTGTATGGCATACGTAATTTGATAATACTGGCTTGACCACTTTGTGGCTGCTTTGCATCATTATCACAATATATATGACTAGGTATTTGGAAATCTCTGGCCTACATCTGTATTTTAACAACCAAATATGCATACTTTTACATCAGGTCTTCATTGGTTTCACACCTATCATCTTTCTTTTATAATTTTACTATTCTTTGATTCTTATGTGGTTTGATTCAAAATAAGCTGTTGAATATGTGTGTGTGCGCGTGCGTGCGTGCCTCTGTGTGTGTGTGTGTAAAATGTAATCAACTAACCAAGTCATATTTTTTTCTGGATGACCAGAAATAAAACTAAACTGGATGACCAGAAATAAAACTAAGTCCTGATTTTTTTTTTTAGTTTTATTTGATTCCTTTTGTTGCCACAGGTACGCTTGGTGTTCATTGTTTAATTTGTCTGGTTCCTTACTTGTCATTTTTGTCTTCATTTGTTTTGTAAATTGGAATAATGAGATACATATAAATCATAAAATAAATTAAAATTTTATATATTTTCATGTTAAGTATAATTATATAAAGTTTGAATTCATTAACTTGATGTATTGTCTATATAATAAATAGCTTGATCATTAACATTGTTTACTCGGTTCTTTTTTCTTATAATGAGTTTGCTCATCATATGTTTGAAATTTGTCAACATTCATAGATAGTACGTAAGTGAGGAAGGATTTGAATATTTGATTTCTACGCACACTTTACCTTATTGTTTGAGTTAGTCTTAAATGAATTTAATAATCATGCAAAAATGTGATTTTGCAATTGCTCTGGAGTTTTCTCTTCTTCTGTGTGATGCATTAGATATATAATAGTTTATTGTTGTATAAAATGTCCTCATTTTTCTTTTTTCTTTTTTTTTGAAAATTACAAAATCATATAAAACACAAGGGCATCATATATAATTCATAATTAACATTGTTTCATATAGCTTTTGTTATTTTATGCTGATAAATTGAAAATATGAGCACCAAAAAATGATAAATGTTTTATTTTATTCGACACACTATTAGGCACTAAATACAAATACTTCTTTCAGTAAGAATTTGAATCTTGGTTCACTATATATACACAATTGCACATTCCTTGGGTAATTAATTCTGCGAGCAGGTATTTATGAACAATTTTTTTAAAAAAAGGAACAAAAATAAAAGGAAAAACTTAAAGTTGCAAAAAAAAAAAAACAATTATAACAGGATAACAAAGAGATAATGATGATCAAACATAAACAGATAAGTCGGCAGACATAAAAACAGTCATTCATTCTCCAGGAAGCTGCGTGTTTGCTTCAAAAGTAGGGGTCATCAAATCCGATCCGATTCTTAAAAACTTTTCTCAGATTTTTCTTTCTTTTTTCCTTATTAATTCTAAATGAAAAAGGGAGGTGGAGGAAGATTTTCCTGGTGGTGGTTCAGCTTTCCCATTGGCATCTACCTCAAATACGGATGTATATATCTTTATCATTGCAATCTTTCTGCATCTCGTAAATATAATGTTGTTCATAAAGATGAAATTATTAGATTCATATCAATAAAACGATCACTGAATATTCTGTTCCTAAATATTCTAATGCCTCCCACGTCGGTCATGTTTCCTACATTCCTCTCTCTTCCCATGAATCAACCGACGGATCATCCTCACAATTTTCTAAATATATGAGTCAGATAATTATTTTATAAATATTAAGAAAATTTCTTGAGTAGTTATTTGTCCTTTAATTGTTGGTATCGAATACCACTCCTTTAATAGAAAATTAATAGGAAGCCTTTAAAAATAGATTAGAAATTCTAGAGACTAAGTAAACAGGATTTTATGTTTAGGATTAAAGCAAAATTTTTTACTAACTCTTATCGTTAGCAGAAAAAGTAAAAGTTTTGTTCTTTTATTGTTTTTTATGAAGGCACGAAAAATTAAACGTTGAGAACTTTTGTAAATTGCTCAAACTTATAGTAGCTACTGGTTTTTCATATTTGGTTACATACATATGGGCAAAATTAATGTTCATACTACCTCGAATCCTAATTATAAGATCTCATTAATAAATTATAAAAACTGGGAGTAGTAATTTAGTATGGGAAACGAGTGGAAGAGTGTCAAATTTAATTTTATTTCAAAATCAGCTTCTTTTTTCCTTACTGATATAAAGCCAGCCATTGGCACTTTATTTTTTCCCCCCTCGACTTTTTGTTAACACGCATAAATCATGTGCAAATCGCACTTTGAATCGCCAAAAGTAGTGTCTAATTGAGTAGGTTTTTGTTGATCCTATTGCAACTCAGACATTGCTAGGGATTATTTTTTCTTATCTTGTTGGATTAAAAGTTATACCATGAAGTACTGTTCTTTTTTTAATTTTGGGTAATAATTACTGCCCTTTTTTATTTTCTCCCACTTTTTGTTTTTCCATCTTTTCCAGAAAAATCATTGGTAAATTAAAAACGTCAATAAAAGATGAAGGGATCCTTCTGCTTATCGGAGGCATCACGAGAACTGACAAAACAACCTCACAATTCAAAACCTACCGGGAAAAAAAATAGTCAACTGGGAAACAAATTCTATCCAAGAATCACAAACTACCGTTGTCTGGCAAATACTCCCCCATCCTAAATATAAGATCTATTTTGTAGTGTGTATAAAAGATCTTATATTTAAACCGAAAGTATGTTTTTAACACTATTTTTTTAATTAAAAAAATAAAGAGTCAAACACAAACATAATCTGCATCAGCAAAAGGGGAGGTTTCAAGGAAGCGGTGATGGACGTCTGAAGTCAGAAACATGAAGGATAGTCAAAAATGGTGACTTTATGTGAAAATGATGGTGTTGATACATTTCTGATGCATCTATGACTCTGCCTGTCCAAAACAAAAGGGTCCATTTACATGTCATTACGTACAAATTATAATACCGAAGGATCCTCCAAGTCAAAAAGGGTCACTTCCCGGCAGCCCTACCCTGCCCCTACACTAAACCCCTACAGCTTCCTGGATCCTTCATGCATGGTTTTCATTCATTCCACCCCATGTTTTCTAATGGATAAGTTTATGTACCTGAATCAAATTTTCCTCCGATTTAAAGTATAAGAATTAGTTGAAGTGTTTGTTTTGATTTTAAATATAAGAGTTCAATTTATTTTATATATCAAATTTGTTAATTTTTCTTCAAATATATAACCTCAGGTTTAACTTGGAGTTACCTCAACTCCTTCATGCAGCTTAATTAAAATGATTTTTTTAATTAAATTTTAGACAAAGAGGCCCTTAATTTAATTATGAGTTTTAAAAATTGATACATGAATGTGTATTGATGACTAGAGAGTGCCATGCATGTTCATTGGTTCATTCAGTTAAAAACAAAAGGGAATGCATCTCTTTATGCTCATTAATATAACTAATTTGTGTTAAACATTATTTTTTTAAGGAAATCAGAGAGGGAAGAATTGGAATCTCTCATGATTAAGGTCAACCAAATTTCATGTTACCTTAAATTTTAGGACGGTCCAATAACTTGCCTATAATATTTAACTAAAAGAAAAGAAGGGATCTCGTTTGCTTTTGGCAGAAGAAAGGGGCTCAAGGGCAAAGTGGTCAAAGAGGAAATTATGGAAGTTGGCGTGGGTTGGAAAGAGACAACCCCCTCCGATAGGATGCAGTAATAAATAATAATAATAAGAATAAGAAATCGAAGGCAACCCATTCGTCTATTTAAAAACCACTTGAGGGGTAAGAGGCAAACGCAATACAATTCTGCCAAGGCAAGCTAAAATCCCTCTCATTCAACCCCCACATACAAAACCTCTCTGCCTCTCAAAATATTCAACCAAGAAAAGAAAGGAATTCCCTTTGCACACACCAGAGGCCCAGAGCTCTATATCTATATCTATCCTCTGTCTCGCCATTTTGGAATTCTGCAATCTCAGAATCTCTCTTTGCAAGATTACAATGGCCACATTTATCAGAAGAATCATTGTCAGCTACATTTTCCTCGCATTATGTCTCTTTGCAGGTGCACTGTTTGTTCTGTTTTGCTCTGTTTTTCTTCATTGTTCTTGTTCCGGTTCTTGCAGATCATTTTATTGAATTATACTGGGTAGCACTAACAGATTTTCGATGCTTTATAATCACAGGAACTGGGTTTTTGCCAGGCGTGGCATCGTTTGGAATCAACTACGGCCAAGTTGCCAACAACTTGCCGCCACCTGACAAGGTTCTGGAGTTCTTGAGCTCCCTTAAGATCACAAAAGCAAGAATCTACGACACCAATCCTCAGGTGTTAAGTAACTTCGCTAATTCCAACGTTGAGCTCATTGTAACTGTGGAGAACCAAATACTAAGCCAATTGGGTGATCCTCAACAAGCCCTTCAATGGGTGAGCACCCACATCAAGCCTTACGTCCCAGACACAAAGATCACGGGGATTCAAGTTGGGAATGAGGTCTACACTGATGATGACACAACCCTCGTTCAGTATTTAGTACCAGCCATGGTTAATATTCATAATGCCCTAGCTCAACTAGGTATAGGCTCAAACATCCATGTTTCAACACCTTGTTCCTTAGCAGTGCTTCAGGAATCTTACCCACCTTCGGCTGGTAGTTTCAAAAGTGAGATTTCTGGGACTATGAACCAGCTTTTGAACTTCCTGTCTAGCACTAAATCACCTTTTTGGATCAATGCCTACCCTTATTTCGCTTACAAAGATAACCCAACAGGGATTTCTTTGGACTATGCATTGTTTAATCCTAATGCAGGGATGGTTGACCCTAACACCCACCTGCACTATGATAATATGCTGTACGCTCAAGTAGATGCAGTTGTATTTGCCATGGCTAAACTGGGATATAATGGGATAGAGGTTAGGGTATCAGAAACTGGTTGGCCGTCAAAAGGAGACCCTAATGAATCTGGTGCCACAGTTATCAATGCAGCAACTTATAACAGAAATTTGTTAAGAAGGCAAATGGCAAATGAAGGGACACCTCTAAGGCCTAGAATGAGGCTCGAAGCGTACCTATTTGCTTTGTTCAACGAGGATATGAAGCCTGGACCAACCTCAGAAAGAAATTATGGCCTCTTTCAACCTGACGAATCCATGGCTTACAATGCAGGGCTATCTGCTCTTTCAACCACTTCAACAGCTTCAATTTCTCTTACCTCCTCCGCTGCTAAGACAAAGGTAAAAACAATAGGTTCGTTGTTTTCATCTTTACAAAAAATTTAATTTAGATTTTAGCAGAACTAATCGGGTAGAAAGAGAAAATGTATAGTCCACAATTAAGATACGTGTATGTCAATGTAAAGCGGGGTTTGTATATGGTTCTCATATACACTCATTTGTGATTAGGCATTTTTGAGAAATGAAAAAAAATATTATTACTTGTTCTTTGGCCAACATTTGTTATTTACATGCAGTTTATGTCAATCTGATTATCTTCTAATATCTTCGCCCTTCACATTTTACTGTGAAACAGGGAGCTCCAATGGATTACAGGAGTTTGGTCTTCTGGATGATTGTGTGTTTGATGACCTCAACTCTTTTTGTGAGAACAACACTGTAGGCCTACTGGGTACTTACCCATGTATATATATACAAGAACAGTGGGGATTTTACTTCGTTCGAGTCGCAAAACAGAGACCTCCAAGCAAAGGCACTTCAAGCACCTCAACAACGATGCGACTGGACGTGATAAGCGACCCTAGTTTGCGGAAATAGGGACCAATACACTTCGCCAGACGATGGAGGCTACAAAACCATCCATAATATTGTAAAGGAAATGAGGATTTGAATAGAAAGATCATCCTATCATAAGTCACTTTCCTTCGACAAGCATGTGGTGGTGACGTGAAATTGAAATTATTTTTAGGTAGATAAGGGACAAAAGCCATCTCATTCTTTATTTCAGGATGATGTAGAAAATTAAGTCCTAATTTCGGCTTATTTACTTAAAATTATCAACTAGGACATGGATTCGGATGTTGCAAGTCATGTAGAGTTAATTCCATTCATGCAAAGAAGAAAAAAGTTGCAGCTTGGGGAGAAAGTGTTGTTGAAGCTAGCCTTGTCTGCCGTATGTCTCAACTCATTGGTTGGTGGGAAAAGCCCCTCCTTTGGGGACGTGGAATCCATAACTGTTCCTATTTGTGTATATATATATAAATACAAAGATTACTATTCCTCCGCTCTTTTCCTCCCTTGCCAAGTATCTTACATAAAAGTTCAATAAAAAAATATGATTAAATTATATCATATTGCAGAAATGTAAAGTACACGAGCCACAAAGTTTAGGCTTTGTTTGGTTGTTTTTATTATCCTCCAGAGGACGATGGGTCAGTCTCGCTTTATTCCCTGGCCAACTATCCGTCAGCATGTCATATGCACAAGTGCCTTTATCAATTCATAATACATTTTCTTTCTTCCTTAGTTCTTTCTCCTCATAGTTTTTAGCATTTCATGCTATTTTGGTTCACTGAAAGAGATTTTGAAGGGAGGGAACAATCATACCTCAGCCTTATCAGAACCTGATGGAGCTGTTCTAGCTATTTGACATCATCCAACGTGTTGTGCACATGTTACCCTCAAGCTAGAAGGCGACCCCACTGAGCGAGAACTTTTCATTCTTTAGCAAAAGAAGACGAAGGGCAGGGAATTCGGTGGTCGTGGAATTGAATATTCTGATCTGATTTTTGGAGCCGCTGCCGCAGGAGGCAAGTGCTGTGGGAATACTTTGGCCTTTTAGGTGTTCGATAAAAGTCCATTGACAGAAATCCTACGTGGGAAGGGGTTCCAATGACTCGTAGTTTCGGAAAGATTCGCAAGTGTGGTCCTTGCATTGCCATTCACAGACTGATTCATCTGCTCAAACCGCTTGGGAGGCAACAATGCCGAATAATAGAATGAAACACACACATGAAATTTAAATGGACGGTCCCATCCCATTGTGTTTTACCAAACCAGTTCCTTAAAATGAGGATTAAGAGTGTTTGTCCACCACCATGTCCATTGTCTTAAATATTACTACTATTTTCTTATTTCAAATCACCAATGGCTTCAAAGCATTACATTCTTTGTTTTTTCTTTTCTTTTCTTTTTTAATAATTTCTCTTTTTCTTTGCTTATAATTTGAATATATTATTCTTAATATTTCTCGTATCCGACCATAAAATAATCATATGATTTCATAGCAAATAAATATGATTCGATTAAAAGTTTGATCGAGAGGTAGAACTACTTAGCAGCTGAAATGAACATTCGGTATTCTTTTCTACAAAGTCAAAGTTCTCATATACCTTTTTTATGATATGCTAATATTGATAGCTGATGATATTGTTTCGGTTTGAATAGTTGATATTTTAAATTTAGGGGGCATGATGTTGAGATGGATGTGTGGTTATACAAGAAAAGATAGGATTCGAAATGAAAATATCAGAGCAAGAGTTGGTGTGACACCTATCCAAGAGAAAATGGTTGAAAATCGCTTAAGATGGTTTGGACATGTATAGAGAAGGCCATTGGAGGCCCCGGTGAGGAGGGTGGATCAGACAAGATGGAGTCCCATAAAAAAGAACAGAGGAAGACCAAGAAGAACGCTTAATGAGGTCATTGAATGAGACCTCCTAGTCAACAACAAATCTAAGGACTAGGTTGTTGACAGAGCACGATGGCGTCCGACCCCACCTAATGGAATAAGGCTTGTTGTTGTTGTTGATATTTAAGGAAAAATTAGAAACTTAGAAACTTGGGGGGGGGGAGGGGAATAGACAAATAACTGATACCAGCAAGTAAATAGAGAGGAAGAAAAATGTAAGGTGTAGGGAAAAAGATAACAGAAAATTACATAGAAAGAACATTCTAACTCCCAACAGATGAAAAAACTACCATCACAGCTCTCAAACTTTTATAGTCACGTATGACGTTCTTTTTTTTTTTTGTGTGGCCAAATTATGCATCTTTCTTATAAAAAATAGAAAAAATTAGGAAAAAGTTTCTTGCTAAAAATTTTATTAGTGGGAAAAACCTGATAAATTTTCACATATAGATATACCAGTAAAAACTTGCTCATTTGATACAAGAAGAGATTCATCTCAAGAAGTGGAAACCAATCAAGCTCAATAAGGATGGCCCACCAATTTCTCATCTCTTCTTCGCAGACGACCTTATCTTGTTTGCTGAAGCTTCTATAGAGCAAGCAGGTGTAGTTAAAAGGTGTTTGGATGCCTTCTGCAATGCTTCTGGACAGAAAGTGAGCCAAAGTAAGACACGGGTTTTCTTTTCTAGTAATATCAACCATACTCGTACTACTCAACTGTGTGAGGAGCTGGGGTTCTGCAGTACTCTTGATCTTGGAAAATATTTAGGGGTCCCTCTTCACCATGAACGAGTAAAGAAAAGTACTTATCAGTATGTTGTTGATAAGGTTAGAACAAGACTCTCTAACTGGAAGGCCAACGCTATTTCATTTGCTGGTCGGCACACTCCCGTTTCCTCAATGATGCAAGCTATTCCTTTATACCCTATGCAAACTAGTGCCTTACCTTTAGGCACTTGTGATGAAATTGAAAAGAGTGCTAGAGGTTTCCTTTGGGGTTCTAGTGATGAGCATAAACGTGTACACCTTGTATCGTGGAATGTGGTTTACAAGGATAAGAAGAAGGGAGGCTTGGGTATTCGACACTTGAGATTGCAAAATAGCGCTTTCATGATGAAAGCCGGCTAGGGATTAATGACACAAAAAGATGCTCTTTGGTGTAAAGTTATCCGAAGTAAATACCGATGTGGGAATGATCTAATTCGTAGAGAGTTCCCGCCATGGTTCAAGAGTTTGGAAAGGGATTTGTGATAATTGGGATCATGTTCTCCAAGGATCTGAACGGGTTGTTAATAGTAGGGGAGAGGAAGGCATTCGATGGAAATTTGAAAAGCATGGAAATTTTACTCTCAAATCAGCATATAACGTGCTACATGGAGATTGGTCTCCTGCAAACTTGATCTGGCAAAAGCTCTGGAGATTGAATATTCCCCAACATTGTAAGCTTTTTATGTGGCTCACTCTCCATAATAAGCTCTTGACTAGTGAAGCTTGTCTTAAACGAAATATCAACGACTCGGCGGAATGTCCTTGGTGTAGGCATGACTTGGAAGGTGCTCTTCATGCTCTCCGTGACTGTCCCGAAGTCAAATCAATGTGGCTTTCATTGATTAAACCCAGCTTTGTTGATCAATTTTTCAGTTGTAATATTTGGGACTGGTGCTGCATGAATATAAAAGATACATTTGGTAGAGAAAGAGAGCAGTGGCGGGAGCTGTTTGTTATCGTCTGTTGGCTTGTTTGGAGGCACAGGAATGAAAAACTTTTTGAGTACAAAAGTAATCAGGCACATGGAATTATCAGCAAGGCAAAGGCGGTCCTTCTAAGCTATGGAAGGGCCAGACTCCAATTACATAAATCAAATATAAGTGGAGCGTGGAGCTCTCACGAGACACAGCCTAAGCGGAGTATTAAAGATGGGATAACAGTTTGGGTGGATGGTGCCTTCTCACATATATATGGGAAAGCAGCTTGTGGCGGACTCATCAGGAATAATGAAGGCAATGTAATGGAAGCCTTTATGCTGAATATTAACAGTGGAGACCCCTTAGTTGCAGAAATTTGGGCGTGTTTGATAGGACTTAAACAAGCATGGGAAGGGGGGCATAGAAAAGTCACCCTATTAAGCGACTCTTTGGAAGCTATTCAGCTTATAAAGGGAGGGGCCACTGAAATCCATGAGAATTGGGACCTAATCCAAGAAGTTAGTAACCTGCTTCAGCGACAATGGATGACTGAGCTTTGTCACATTCGAAGAGAAGAAAATATAGTAGCTGACTCTTTAGCTAAGTATGCTCTTAACTTACCTCCAGGACTCCATTTTCCTCACCATGATGACATTTGTAATTTTATTTCCTGCCAAGTAGCATAGCTGTGTCTTTTATTCCCTTTTTATAAAAAAAAAAATTACAGAATATTGATACTTTGATTTGAGTCTTTCTCACCAATAAAAATTTCAATAAGATATTTCCCCCAATTTTGGCAACAAAAAAAAATCACGCATCAAACTATAAATAACCCCATAAAAAATTCATTAATCATATTTTCTCAATTATAACTATGTCATACTAATATTAAATAGTTGGCAAAAAAATGCTAATATTAAATAACCATTTAATTATTGTTTTAGTGGGAGGGTTAGTTACTTATAATGTAGTAAACTAGGATTTAAATTCTACAGAGAGATATTTTTATATTTAATGCTTGACACTGTGTTGAATTGGATTGTTTTTAATACAAGAACACATATATCTTAAAAGCCATTTAATTTTGATCACAAAATAAATAAGTATTTGATACTTCGCCTGTAACAAGCTGAATATAAATACTTAACGAGAAGATTTATTATCATTAACAATTTTACCTTTTATTCGTTGGAAAAAATTATACCTTTTATTCAATAAATAAGGGGAAAAAAAAGGCGAGAATTGATGTGAGTCTTAAGAAAGAAATAAAATTACTAAAACGTCTTTATAATAATAAAGCAACTTTAGGAGTTTTTTTGTTTTTAACGTAAGATCTTTTTAACTAATTTAACTAGATTAAGTAAGTTTGGTAGGTTAGTTAATTAGTTAATTATAAGAAATATGACATATTTTTTCTAAACTGCTATAACTATCTTCTTTAATATTCTCCATCTCTTTCCTACTTGATTATAGTTAAGAAAATATTAATAGAAGTAATTTAAATAAATTAATAAATATAAAAATAAATCTTATATTTAAAACTAAAATTAATTAAATAATTAGGTCATAAATTAAGAAAAAAATATAATAAAAGAAGAGTAAAAAATATTAACTGCTCATTCTGTTACTAGCCCTTTGTTAGTATTTTTGCTTTTTTTTTTTGGACGTCATTATTCTCCCAACGAAAAATATATCGTACCTCCACCTGCCAGTTTCGCTGCAGAAGTCTCTACTGGCAGCCTCAATCTCTCTCTGTGCGGCCGTCACGCCGGCGACGAGTGCGACGGCGGAAGGGAATATCTAATTGTGGTAGCGGTATCTTATTCACTCGTTACCATTCACCGCCTCCGCTTCCGACAATCCATCTCTCTCAAAAACGGAGAAGTCGGTGAGCAACAGGCGTTTTATCCTTGTACCCTTTCTTCGTTTCTTCATGACAAATGGTTTTTGGCGAATCGTACTGTATGATGGTTAGAATCATAAAATAAATGGGTCGACATTATACCACGCATTGCCATTAGAAAACGTTAAGGTCTTCGATTTTGCTGACCGACCTTTGGTAGGACATTTCACTTAAAAGACTACGTTCTTCTGTTTTTGACTGGATGGCTTGTAGACAATATTTCTTTCACGAAAGATTCTCCATGCAAGTGTATTTCTAGTGTTTCAAGGCTAACATCTTGATTAACCTTTGAAATTTGCCACCTTAAAACCGTTGGTGGCTGGCTAGCTCATGAATTCGGGTAATGCCTTTTGGCTGAGGTTTAATTTTGGATTATATTCCAGAAATCTTAATTCCAAATCCTATTCTATACTTGCAATAGATCAGGAGCTCAATTCTCTATTAAAATCATGCAAAATGTTTTCTGAAACCAGTCAAATCCATGGCTACATGGTTAAGACTGGTCTTGACAGAGTTCCTTTCAATTTGAGCAAGCTCCTAGCCGCTTCCAACCGTGATATAGAATATGCAGCATCCATTTTCAGTTCTATTCAAAACCCAAATCTTTACATGTTCAATACAATGCTTAGAGGCTATTCTGTCAGCGATTACCCAAGACAAACTTTCACGTTGTTCAACAATTTGAGGACTCGAGGAATTGTTCTGGACCAATTCTCTTTTATCACAACACTCAGAGCTTGTGGTCGAGCGTCGAACACTGGCATAGGCCAAGGGATCCATGGAATTGCATTGAGGTCTGGGCATACGATGTTTATTGATGTGAAGAATAGCCTTCTGCATTTTTATTGTGCTTGCAAAAGAATTGGAGATGGCCATAAACTGTTTGATGAATTTCCAGCAGAAAACGACTTGGTTTCTTGGAACACCTTAATGGGCGGTTACCTTCTTATATTTCAGCCTTTTATAGTTTTGGATTTGTTCAGAAAAATGTGTTGTGCTGGGCTTAAAGCCAGTGTTGCCACTATCTTGTGCCTTTTAACTGCTTCTGGCAACATAGCAAATTTTGTTATAGGAAAGTCACTCCATGGGCATTGTATCCGAATCGGCTTTGGCTCTGATTTGAATGTGCTCACTGCTTTGATTGATATGTATGCAAAAACAGGGCATATCTATCTGGCACGTAAAGTTTTTGATGGACTTGCTGAAAGGGATGTTGTCTTATGGAACTGTTTAATACTTAATTATGGGAGAATTGGTCTGGTAGAAGAAGCACTGTCTTTAATAGAGCAGATGCGACTTCAAGGAGTAAAACCTAATTCATCCACCTTGTCAGGTTTGCTTTCAGCTTGTCCTGCATCTGGATCTATAGAGGTAGGACAATATGTTGCCAGTTACATAGAAGAGGAGAAACTAAAATTGGATCCAGTTATGGGAACTGCTCTTGTTGACATGTTTGCTAAATGTGGCTTTCTAAATAAAGCTTTGGACATTTTTGAGAGGATGGAAAGTAAAGATGTGAAGTCTTGGACAGCCATGATAACAGGTTATGGGGTTCATGGGCGGCCAACTAATGCCTTTAAGCTTTTCAATAGGATGGAGAAGGAAGGGTTTAGACCAAATGGAGTCACTTTTCTGGCAGTTTTGAGCTCTTGTAGTCATGGAGGTCTTGTGATAGAGGGCGTGTCAATTTTTGAGAGAATGGTTAGAGAATATGGCATTTTACCTCAGGTTGAACACTATGGATGCCTCATTGATCTCCTAGGTCGAGCAGGAATGCTGGAGGAAGCACATAAACTGATTAAGAGCTTGCCCACCGAGAGTGATGCTACTGCTTGGCGTACACTGCTTGCGGCTTGCCGAGTCTTTGGGAACATTAAATTGGCAGAGTGTGTGAAAGAAATGTTGAGGAAAATGCACGAGGAGCATCCTGCAGATTCCCTCCTCATATCTAGCACTTATGCTGTCGTTGGAAGACTCTCAGACCTTTCAAGAAGTGAAAAATGGAAGGAAGCAGATTTTGTGATGGAAAAATATGGTACAGTTGAAATGAAGAGAGAAAAGATGGTTAAAGAGGCTGGACTGAGCACAATTGAATTATATAATCGGGAGTGAGACTGTGAGACTGCCATACTTTCATCCGCAATTTTTGTCTTGCCGAGTGGTAGCCCTGTGGGGTACCGAGACCCCTCATGACGTGTTTGAGCCTGAATGTTGGGGGGCATCCAGCCAAAGATATGGTAGACCAGTTCAATGGTTTATTAACTTATTGCTCAATCTGGTTCGGTCTCTGCTGGTTTGAAAGTATTTTTCTGACCACTCAGGTTTATTGAACCACACTAATTTCTTAACGCACCTGGATCAACAAAATTAAGTGAGCCTTCAAGACTTATCAAGGACAAATGTGCTCCTCTGTTCCCAGAGCCTCCAGAAACTAACAAGGACAGATATGATCATCCGGACCTGGAGCAAGTGAATGCTACAGCGGTTGATGGATGAAAAGGCCACACTCGGTGGGATGGGGCAATTATTATTTAGGCCGAAGATGGGACCCAGAGTTCAAGGCAACTCTTGATGTTCATCTGTCAGGCAGGTTTTGGACTTGTGGTCAATTAATTTGGGTATGCCTTTTATCCTCAAGGTTTGTGATTTTCTCCATTATAAAAGTGTTAATTTCCCTCTAAGGCTTCTTCTTCCTTAGAAGCTTGTTAATTGGCATGTAAATCAGAAGACAACGACTTTACATTTTGTGATGTTGACGAATATTGACCGTATTTGACTTGCGTTTTCTCGCCTGCTCCCTTTGTTGCTTTATGTCTGTTTCGCCTGTAAAAATCGCGTCATATAACATAATTCAGTTGGCTACTCACTTTTACGAGCTACTGCTAATTGATATGACTGAACAACCTGCAGTTTACCAGATTACTTTGACGGAGGCGTGTGTGTGTGTTTTCAGTTTCCAAATGTTACATTTAGTGCTGAAGTAAACTTTTGCATTTGAGTCCCTGTTGATGAGGCTTCATCAACCTTTATTCTTGTATATGCTTCACTTTTGTGCTCAGTTTTGTATACGCGGCTAGTTCTATGAAATTTATACAGCCCATATTATTTCGATAAAATGCTTTTGAGTGAACATGAGCGTCTTATATCTAGGGCGCATCAGGAAACAGACGAAAAATAGAACAAGAGCTATTAAGCGGATGTTAACCTATTTTTGAGCAGCAAATTTTCCCAAGAGCAACTTTCCATTCCAAATCAGATCTTTCCTTGTTCGTTAGTTCCCATGGGGTAATGTCGCAACGTCACTTACATTGTAAATTTGGACAATGCATACATATTGGTAGCTGCCATGTAAATCATTCAATTGCTGCAACACCCACTAGAATAGCCAAAGCATAATAATAGAAATTAGCTTGTAGCTATCAGCACGAAAATTGACAATGTTCTGTGGCCTTTTATGTTTTATTTACCATTCTAAAAAAATAAGACCAAAGTACCAACGTGAACTCTCAAGGGCAACTTGAGGCATCATTGTACTTACAGACATGAAGGGTCAATTGTAGCATCTCCACGTATGAAAACCGTGGTCTAGAGAGGCTCCCCAGTATGTTTTAGTTTCCTAGCTGTGCAATAACCATTCTATGGCAATCTAGTGGAACTTAGAATAAAAAATACCAAGCTGGGTAAGGCTGATTCTTTTCATTGCAGTATTTGACTTCCATAATCAGCATTGAACTTCTCGTACTTGTGGGTATGGAGATGAGCAGACGGCCTTGTGTTCTTCAAAGCAATCTCTATATCTTTAGGTCCGATAGGCCCTACTTGTGGCAATTCTGCATGCCAATAATAACGGATAGCTCGTGATGAGTGAAAATAAACTAAAATCACTGAATACTCATGTAAAATAAAGAACACATCCTCCGATGAGAATTTTTCAGAATGAGAAATTAAAGTGAAACAACACTTTTCTTGGTCAATAAAACGACACTTGGATATCCATAATTTTTAATATTGATAGCCAAGAAATTTAGAAATAAATAAATCCTCCCTAGGTCCAAAACACAACAAATCTGACTCGCACCAGAATATATCCAGTATTTTCTCCCATTCTAATCAACTGAGCGATAATTATTAAAAGAATGAATCGCAATTGGAGAACAAGGGCGATAAATTTAATCAGATAAACTAAGCTTCCAAATAAATGAGGTTTATAGTTATTAATAGTTGACATGCGAATTCATGTAAATTTTCATGACAACTCTTGGATTCTGATCCAAAAATTTGTTATGAAAAGAAAAGAAAAACAGATACTATTGATAATGGTAACAAAGGAATAATAAACATTACACAAATTAAAGTTTATCGATTTGCATGACATTGCCTCACTTTTCCACATCGCAATAACAGCATTTCAATATGGTGATATCTTAAAAATTAACTGCATTGCAATAAATGCTGTAAACCCCATACCTTCTTCCGGCACCACCTCTTCTCTCTGTTCAAGTTGTGACATTAAGCGTCTCAATGGCTGCATTGCTGCCTCTTTGCAGAGTAACCGAATATCTGAACCTGAATATCCTTCTGTCTGCTCCACCAGTAAGTCATAGGGGATCTGCTCCTCACCAGGCTGTGGTGGAAGGAGTTCCTCAAACATTGCTTCTCTTGCTTCTGGTTCAGGAAGTGGCACAAGGATCTTTTGGTCATGGTTAACGGACAACCACTGGATTAGAATCTATGAAGCACAAAAACATAAAAATGGAGTGTGCCTGTGATAGGAACTAGCACCCTTTACTAGTATTGTGTTTTATGTTTTACGTATTATGTCTATTATGTGATTTTGTATCAGCCATCATAAGTGTCTTATGTCAGTTATTTTGAGATAATGTCAGTTTTATATGTTTACGAAAGAGTAGTTATTTGCAGTTACCGTATAAGGCAATAAATATTAGACATGTATTCTATCAATGAGATGATGGATGAATGATTTTATAGTTTCCTAACTTTCTCTCTATTTCTTTCATTCTTCTTCTCTCTTCTCTAGAATTACAGATTCTGGTTCTAGAGTTCTTCTTCTTCTCTACTCTTTCTCTTCTCTTTCTTCCCCTTTTTCCCTATTTCTACTTCTATTTTCCAGATTCTAACAGCCTGTGTTCGACATGAATGAGACACTCCATGATACTTTGCAACACTTCAAGTTCAATAGAGACACTACAAATGTTTCCTAATTGCTGCTTTCATGCAATGCCACGACATGGACAACACTTCTGGACTAGAATCATTAAAGCTGCAGTTGGAACTTCAGATTGCATATTTGGCATCATGCAGTATGATGGGTCTATGTTTATCCACTATTCAAGCCCAAAGGACTATCACAAGACAGCATGAGGGAGCATGCAAGAGATATTAATATATTATTCAAGATTCCCATAATAACTTATGTATTGGAATGTGATAGCCTTGACAGTAACATAACATTTCGTTGAAATTTCTCCCCCAAGACCAATTTGCAATCCAAGAGTTTAAATGTCATTTTAAAGGAATTGATGTAAGACGAGGCATGAATGATTATATTGGAAGGATACTCGCTTCTCAAGACGCCGGAGCATGGCTGCGTCCAGTTCCCACGGAATATTTGTCGCCGCCAAAACAAAAACAAGTTCATCAGTCCGTGTCAAGCCATCCATCTGCAATCTAACCCAAATGATTTTGAGAAAGCACAGAAATATGCCACTCTTCATAATGCGTATTGAGATGTGTTGGACAATCTCTTCGAGGGCCCAAATTCCCAAGGAAAAACTGAGTATACTTTACATACCAATGATAATTCATGTTTTCATGGTAAGAAACTTGCGCATACATTATTAAGCTATAGCCAGAAAAGTAACATTCTCACAATATATCCAGATAAAGATCAAAGGTCTCTAGTTAATTTCTATTTTCTTTTTCATCCTGGTGTGACTTTTTCCTAATAGAATTATTTACATTGGCACTAACAATCTTCCTGCATGGTGCAAAGGAAACCAACATAGGAGCATGCCGTAATCAGGGAGCGATAAACAACTTTGGAGGTTCTGAAAGTCTCTTTAATGATCCAATCAAATCTTTTAATTATAGAAAGGGCTACATGCTTACAATCAGCCAAAAAGATCAGACAATTGAATAGGATTACATTTCTTCATTCCAAAGTAATCACATTCTTTTGTGCATGTGTTTGTGTGGGTGTTCAAAGCATTATCAGGCTGAAGCCCTAGCAATCACAGGAAGAAGTTATTAAATAAGAATGTCATTTTCTCTCACCTGCTTGATTTTATGGTAATTGTTGTATCTATGTTTTTAATCTGCGCAGGTTATGTAAACAAAATATTGCTGTTGTTTTACTAAAACTGTTGCATGATGATAAATTAATGTTGTGAGAGAAACAAGCATCACCTGTATAAGTAGCTCAGTTTTTAACCGCCGACTTGCTTCATGCTCACTGCGTGATTCACCACGTTGACTAATGATTGCATCAATCTCATCAAGAAATATTGTTGAGGGTGCGTGGTGCCTAGCAAGCTCAAATAGTACCCTAACTAATTTCTCTGAATCGCCTGCAATATAAGGTAAACTTTGCAAATGGATACATTTGTAATTATCTGTAACAAGCTATAACAAAGAGAACATGGAAGAATAAAGAAATTGATATCCATCTTATATTCAAAGGATAGAGGTGAGGCAACTTATCAAAACACACAATGTAAACAGGAAACAATGTATTTTTAATCAGGTTTCACCACTTAATTGATAACATTAAACGCATAATCCAATTTTATAAAGATTTGTGATTTCTCCTCAAAGAAAATATCCCATTTTCCTTAGAAAGGGATATCGCAAGTATTAAAAGCATGATTATGTTAAATTCAGATTTTCAACTACATAATAGTACTTCATGTCAAAATCTTATTAGATGCAGTAACATAATCTAAAAGCACTCCAGAAACGAATTTTTACATCTGAGTGCATATGCATGAATTAGTGTTTGATATGTGTGCAAGTATCTGGTTAAGGAAAACCAAAGAATGGACGTTCATCAAGTGAACAATTCAAACCAAATAGGCCTCAAAAGCAATCCAAAAAATTTACCTAGATTTTGTGTGTGTGTGTGTGTGTGTGTGTAAGACATAAACAAGCTTTCAAAAAATGACAAAAACATAAAAAAAAGAAAAGAAAAGAAAGGTAACATGCCTCTCCATTTGCTGACAACAGAGGAGGCAGAAATATTAAAAAATGTAGTCTTGCACTCTGTTGCAACGGCCTTTGCAAGCATTGTCTGCAACAATCAAACCAAAAGTTATGATTTTGGCAATAACCAATATTGTTCACACCCACACAACATTGTAGCCAAACACAGAGTAGGTGACTCTATAACAATTTGAGAGATTGTTACCCATACCTTTCCTGTCCCTGGCGGCCCAAAGAGAAGAATACCTTTCCAAGGCGATAATAGACCAGTAAAGTATCTGCAGAAGGGATAAAGATCAGCTTGAGTACGGGAAAGGAAGAATTTACATTCTGGATCACTAGAAAACTTTTTCTTTGATCAAACTCTAAGGTTCATCAAATAAATCAACAAAGATTTCTGAGGACAATTTCCCTTGCTTATTTTTTCTAGCCTTACACAAGAAGTCAAACAAATGAATTACTACTTCTCCATCCATTTTCCTCATTCATGCATGCTGCAAGGTACTCAGACTATGAGGCAACGTGGCAACATAGAAGCCGTTATAATTGTCCTTGGACTGATCAGACAAGAACTGAATGCTGTAGAAACTACATAATTGCTGGACAACTAATGATATGGATTGTCTACAGTTTAGACATAAGGATTCTGGCTAGTGTCAGAAATGAAAACAAGTTCACTTCAATAGAAATCAATCTTAATGTTTGCAGTATCGTTGCTGTTGTCTTTCTGGTAAAAAAACAAAAAATGCTGTCGTCTCCCCAAACAGATGCAAATATTGTACAAAATGCAACAAAACGATTGCGTAACTTCAAAAAAATATTGACAAGAGGCAAGAGAAAAAGGTGGTCCATGGCTGGCCTGGCCTATTGATACATACTTGGGATACTTGATTGGCATTACAACAGCCTCTTTCAGTAAGCGTTTGGCTGTTTCTAACCCCTTGATGCTTTCCCACTTCACATCTGGACTCCCACGGATGATATCCCTACGAAGGTTATGATGTAATGATACACATACATGAAAAATGGAAATTATAAACTAAGAAAAAAAAAATTATAAAAGGCATGGCCAACAGATCAAATAATGTAGTTTCTCCATGAATGCCATTTGTGTTGAGCAAAAGAGATATAGATATTTACCTACTTAAGCTCTCAGCTAAAATACGCATTTCTGCAGATTCAAAAGGAGGAAGCAGAGACTTCTGACTGAAAATATCAATGGAAATAATTAATATTGTCAAAGAATGATAGTTAATTTATTGTTTACAGTTGTGAGAAGAGATCGAAGGATCAATCTCAGCAGTTGCTTCGTTAAACGATACATTGTTTGCATACTATGGAATGTTTGTTTTCCTCAGTCGTGGAGGAAAACTCAGCCCAAAGTCATGCGGTGTGTTCATAAACTTCAGCAAACACACAAAAAATAGCCCAAAAAGAGAAAGAAAGAAAGAAAGAAGCTTCACTAATTCCATCCCTCCGCACATGCTTTGACTTATCTAGAGTATTGTCGTTTAATAATTAAAACTCACTAATGACAATCTTTTGGATCAGGATGCAAATGACAAATAATAGTACAGAAAATTACCAATAACCTACTAAGTTAAACAGTATTGTCGTTTAATAATTAAAACTTTATATTAACGTCATACAGCAGACAACAATCATAGATTAGGACAAGAACAAGTAGTTTGACAGGTATCTTCCTCTTCCACAAAATTGTCATACATAAAAGTTCGATCAAGCTTCAAATCACTGAGCCAGAGGTTCCACTAGCAGCACAGGCATGTATAATATTTTTCAAAAAGCCCACAAACTCTAACACAAATGATTCAGTTTTATCAATAAATGGTGCCAAGATAGCACAAGAAGAGCACACAAGGCCCAAAGAATTATGGTTTTCCAAAGCAAGGAATCTGCCTGACACCGCTAGCATTTACTAGTTACATAAACTATTGTAGCGGACTGTTAACAAGTCAATAAACTAAAAATTGACACTAACAAAGATAATGGATCTAATCAATGCTTAGAAAATCAATCCCCATTAACAACATAATACACAATTTAGTTTAATTAATACTATTTACTTCACCCCCGCCCCCTCCCCACCCTTTACATGATTCCTCACAGGAGAACTGAACTGATTTTAAAGCGTAAATGAGCTCATTAGGCAACCCAGCAATATAAATTGATGGCTCGAGTCAAGGAATCATACGGCCTATCACCAACATTGTTTGGCAAAAAACCATTTGAGTGGTTTGAACTCTGCCCCTGACACAGAAGAATTGAGCTTAGGTAAGACTGGGCACATTTTAGTGAATTAGAAAAAGTAAATAACCAATTCACAAGAAAAAAATTATACACCAGACAGATCACCTGGCTCTGAAACTGCTCATAGATAGCCGTATCCGATGTTCTCTTGGGATGTAGATTGCCATTTCCATTACTGACAGGACTGTCGGCTGTCTCGCCATTCTCCAAGATTTTCTTCCTACCAAACTTGGCGTCATAGAACAATTTAAAATCCTAGAGACACATCAAACAGCAGTAACAAAATTATAATTCTATTCGCTAGATCAGGATTTGCAGCTACAACAACCTGATCGACACATTACTAGAAGAAAGAAAAGGAGAAATCAAACGGATGCTTTTTCAATGAAGCCTGTATGCCAGTAAGAAAGGAACTAGAATTTATCCAAGTAACTACACCACGTACATTTGCATGGCAAGAAATTGGGAGAAAAAATATAGGAAAAAATAACGGAATTCGGCCAAACAACGAAAACATAATGGACCAGAAATAATTGCTCATCTAGTTTCAGCTAAAAATAAGTTCGCAGCTTCCAGTTAACACGAGTATCAAGTCCAAAATTCAGCACGATTACAAGTGTGTTCAAATTCCATTCGGAAATTTACAAATTCAGACCTGGAATGACCATCGAGTTGGCATCGGTTCGTCAGACATATTCACGGATGAGTGAAACAGACTGAGAGAGAAATTCAAAATGCTTCTCTTTGTAGCTCAGCCTGAATCGAGCACCAGCAGCGCCAGTTGCTGGGAGCTCACAGCTGATAAAAAGCGAATAACCGAGTAGAATAGGTAAAGGACGCGGGAGAGAGGGGGGGGGGGAGAGAGAGCACGTGGTGATGCGGACCCTTCTTTGTTTAAAAATAATTTTATGATATATAAAATAAATATATAAAAAAATTTATCTCAATTTATAAAAAAATATTTCTAAAAAATATTTTTATAGCATCCCAACCATTTTTTAATATAAAAGTTAGTTTACTCATTTAAGTATATTAAAAAATTAGTTAAATTAGTTATTTATAATATTACTTCTAGCTTTTAATAGATGTTATGTTTTCTAAAATATTTTTATTAATTAAGTATATTGGTTTAAACTACTATTATTAAAAGAATTATTTTGAAAAAAATAGATAGATGTGAAAAACAAAACAGATTAAAATCTTATATTAAAATAAAATAAAAGCCAAATGAACTGTTATATTAAGAATCGAAATTAATATTATATATATACTCTTTCTGATCCTAAATATAAAATATATTATAAAATGAGTTTTATATTTAGAATAAAAAAGAGTATCTTATTTTTATAAAATGGAACCGGAAAATTGACGAAACTAGCGCCGCGGCCATGCAATAATGTATAAACAGTTTAACCCAGTACGTTATTAAGGCAGACGAGCAACTTAATTCTATTAACTCTGCCGCGCAGGTGATCCTAGTCTATTCCTCTTGTAAATATTTACTGATTAATACATTTCCCTTTTACTCAAGAAAAAAAAAAAGTATAAACAGTGAGGCATGAGATCTGCGGTCTGTCTCTCTGGGAGTGCCTCGTTAGCCCCTTGCTTAGCTGTCTTCAGCTCTTTCATTTTTTCATTTGGCCGTTCCAACTCCTTGCATATTAATTAAACTAATTAATCCAGTGTCTGATATCCTACAAGTTCCCCCTCCCTTCTCTCCTCATTATTCTTGTTATAAGAAGAATTCTAAAAATAATAATAAATAGTCTTTTCTTAATAAATCACTGGATCAAATATTAATTATATTTTTAAAATTAACTCTTATTCAAAATTTCATTAATGGTACTTTTTATAATTTTTTATATAATTCATGGTATTAAATATATATTAGCTTTTTTTGTTTTCAAATAAAAATAATACTCTAATTGAATAACTTTTTTTAAAAAAAATATTTCATGAGAGGGGTAATAAGGACAGAGCCGGTATTAAAAGCTAAGAATAGGACGGCGCATGTCATCTCATGTCTCCCTCCGACTTCGTGATGCATATTTGGAGAGTTAAAAAAGAAAAAGAAAAAGGGTTGCTCGGCGGGCGCAACACTATTTTGCCCATTTATTGACTACGCGACAAAATTATTCATTAAATCATTAGTCATCTTTTACTTTGACGCCCGTATACCTTTGCTATATTTTGCACGACATGCCGGGGAGCCGTGTCTTCTGGTAGCTTTCCTCTGCATTCTTTTATTAAAAAACGTAATTACAAGGTATTTTGAATATTATATTCTCTTTGATTTCTGGGGAGTTTAATTTCACTTTATTTTATTTTTTAACTAATTTATTTCATTTATATAATTTTAGAAGCATCAAGGGTATTTGGTATAATTGATTGATTTATCTAATATTTTTAATTTAATAAAATTAGTTGAGTATTTTTTAATTAAATAGCTCTTGTTACTATACCAAACACGTATAGATATATGAAATAGTTTATTAAAAAGAATCTGATCACAAGGGAGGACGCTTTATATGATTGTTGTAGGGGCCAACCATGACAGCCCTTTTTCTGCATGGGGATCCGGGGAAAGAGGCCGTAGATGCTTTAGTTTACTTGACACCGTCAGGTGTTAAAATGTTGGTAATTTCTTTAGCAGAAATTCAAATATTACTTTGTCACGTTGTAAAAGATTAATTCTTTTTATCAGACTCAACTTTTATTGGTGACTACTTCCTTTTTATCTTATTATGTGGTTTCTTCCTGGGACAATTATGCTTTAGGGCTTTGGGCTTTTGGGGGACCTTTTATGCTGGACTTTGTTTATCAGTGTGTTTTGTTTGCTCCGTTTTGTTTTGATGAAAATAGAACATACCATTCTCTCTGGTCAAGGGGGAAAAAAATCTGGTTTTTGGACAAAGTTGTTATTTTTTAGGAAAAAAAGAGCATATCTTATCGGCTTCACTAATTTGGTCCATGCCCAACAACTTCATGGACGTGACCGTCGGCCCAAAAGAAACGCGAACTTTTTTTGTTTTTTTTACGCGAACATGAAGTTGCTAGTTCATGCACATTTCGGGTAGGAAATACCGACGCGTGGCGTGGTGCCCGGTCATCTACTTCACCTATTTGCACGGCCTGTCAAACTTGTGTTGAGACAACCATACACATTTGGGGGATTATGATTTATGACTATGCTAAGACTCTTTGGCTGAAGTTAGTAAATCCTGTTTACCTTTGAAGATTTTTCAAGGCTAATCTGCAGGATTGGATTTCCTTGAATCTGACAGACAATATGGGCCGTGTTGGTTTTATGAATTGGGATCTCTTATGGGGTGTCACTGTTTGGAAGTTGTGGCTTTGGAGGAATGCTTCTATTTTTTATGATAACTCTGAGAAGCCGCCCAACCCCACTGGTATTATTCTGGGCACTTGGAAGCATTTCACACTGACTATGGAAAATGGTTCTTCTTCTCATCCCAAAACGCTTGAACATTGGTGGCCCCCCAGTAGGATGGATGAGCTTAAATGTGGATGGGGCTATGAACACCAAAACTAGTGCTGCAGGTTGTGGTGGAGTCAGTAGAAATGATTATGGTAATTGGACTGGGGCTTCAAGTACAAAATAGGTATTTGCAGCACTCAAGAAGCTGAACAGTGGGTTATATTCAAGGAACTAAATATTGTTTGGGATTTTGGATTCAGGAAGGTTATTGTTGAGTCCGATGCTAAATGTCTGGTTGATCAACTTTCCAAACCAAATGCTAATTATGACAGCAGCCTTCTGGTGATGAGAATACGTGATTATTTGAAGTATAATTGGGATATTGGGATCAAGTTCATTGGAAGAGGCAGTAATGGCGTTGCTGATACGCTAGCAAAGAGAGGAATTTCTTCTTCTGAGATGTTTGATGCATGCCCTGCTGAACTAGGGGACCTTGTGCAGAAAGAGTGTTTGGGATCCAATCCCCACCCTATTAGTTTTTTGTTGGGCTTTGCCCTCTTTTGTACCCAAAAAAATTTCCAGTAGGCAATAAAAAACCTAACATTTGTTTATGTCACTGGTACTTGGTATATCTTAAACTAATTTACCCTTACAATATTGTTTTACGATAGCAACGAATTCTTAAACTTAAAATACTAAGTGCTACTGAAAAATATTTTATGATGTTAAACGTATCAAAAATTAGTTTAAGATAATCTGTACTACACACTAAATTTTATATTTAGAACTAGATATAGCACTGTTGAAAAAATATATTTGAAGGGGTTAAATACAACTTAGCCTTTTTTTAAGACAAAATAATGGGTTCAGATTATTGTTTCATGAATCTCATTATACAGAGTTTCATTAAAAAAAGTTGGGGGAAAAAAAATCTTACCAGTTGAATGCCCAACTTAACACCCCAAAAGAAATACGTAAATGATTCTCACCTTGCCAATTAGCCTAGGTTGCTTTTGGTGATGCATGAGAAATTGAGAGTTGCAATACAAGAACATCGCATTCTTTCAGATCTACTATTCAGTCAATTTTTTCTCCCTTCAAACTCTTCCTCCTCATTAAAGATTGTTGTTTATGCCTCAGATCACAACGAAAAGCTAATTTATATGTGTCTTTGATGATAAATATAAAATACTATCTTCGATTATAATTATAAAACCTCGTTTATAGTCTACAAATAAGATCTTATAATTAGAACAGAAGGTAATATGGTATTACGCCACAAACTAGTCTTATATTTAGGAGAAAAAAACAAACAATCACAAGACGCGAAGGGATTGAAAAGTCTACAAGATGTTACCTTCAACATATCAACCGGGGTCGGGGATCAGACGTACAACAATTGACATACGAGAGACATAATAACTACTCCTTCGATCCTTAATATAAGACCCATTTAACTAATTTGATTAGATTAAGAAAATTAGGTAAGTTAGTTGATTATAAGAAATATGACATGTTTTTCCTAAAACATCATAATTATCTTTCTTAATACCCATCTTCTTCTTCCACTTGATTATGGTTGAGAGAGTATCAATAGGGGTAATTTAGAGAAAATTGATAAATATGACAAATGGATCTTATATTTAGGACCAAAACCAACTCAACAATTGAGTCCTATATTAAGGACCGGAGGAGTACTACTTACAAGAAGAATAGTAATAGAATCCTCAATTACCACCTAAAAATTCATTCATGTTTCTGGTCGTTAAAAATCTATTAGTGATTGTGACGTAACAACAGAATTGGACCCATATAGGACCATATCCAGAAAATTAAAATAATGTTCCCCTGGACCATTCGGGCTCGAAATCATATGACATAGTAGTAATTGGTTTCCTCAAGAATTGAATGCACACTTGAAAATTAAGCTTCTGCAAATTGTAATAACTTAGTCCCCACAAAGAAATTAATTAAGTGGCACGTGTATATATTTGTAAAAACTATGCTAATTTCTTTTGAGGTGGGGGAAGAAAACGATGGATTGAGTTCCATCTTATATGCATTGTCCATTTTTACGAACTCTGACCGTTGATCCATAAACTGGTTCAACTCATTCAGAAAAAAGCGGAAGTGTCATGACTCAATATGGTCGGGTAAGACTGAAAAATAGTCTGCGAGGTAAGACTCCAAGTCAAGTGTTTGTACGAAGCTGAAATGATGAAAGCTTTAGCGAGACGTTGTAATAAAAGATGAATGACCAGAGTTCAATGAACTTGGCTGCTTCAAAGGACAAGTAGCTAGCCTGTCTCCCTTCTATTGACTGATGTGCCTCTGGAATTGTGAAGTGGTA